GTTCTGCTCCTGTGAGTGATTCTGCTGCGGCTGCTGCTGCTGCTGCTGCTGATGGTGGTGGCCCATTTCTGTGTTTGCCTTGTCAGATAGGACGGTTACAGACAGACAGGCAGACAGTGAGCAGGCGAGGAGGGGAATCGTAATTAAAATTTTCTGACTCGTTAAGTAGGTGACAGCTTGCAATCGATGGCGTGGATCTGCCTCCGATGGTAACGATCCAAAAGATCATTTGGGTTTAAGATGGAATGGGAGCAGAAAGGGGAAATTAATTAAGATATTTATGGCCCCAATTAATCAGGGCACAGAGAAACTTCCAAAGAAAAACAGTACAGTGATAACCAGGATGGTTTATAGAGGAGAGGACGCCTCGTTTTAAGATCTGTGTTTGTTAGCATGTAGCATGTAGCATGTAGCACTGGATGACTGACTGAGTGCTGCAGACACTGAAGGTGTTAATGTGTAATTCTCCAACATCAGAAACCACAGGCAGAGGGCAGCGTCCCTGAGCAGAAACCACCTCCTCGTTCTTTCAACGACACAGGGAACGTTCTCTGATTTTCATTTTTTAAGAAAACTGCTGCAGTTTAACCAGAAACCACCTCCTCGTTCTTCCAACGACACACGGAACGTTCTCTGATTTTTTAAGAAAACTGCTGCAGTTTAAGAGAATCCAAATCACAGTAGCCTACATTTGGTGGGAACTCTAATTAGGGACCGAGAACTTCCAGGACCTGCCGTATCCTCTTCATTTGCTCAGCCCGGGTTCATTGTAGTGGAAAAAAAAAAAAAAAGCCGTGGGTGAAATCCCACTCCTGACGCCGGCTGGTTCCACCGAGATGAAACAACAGTTTTGTCATGTTACATTGTACAAAACCCTAATGAGGAAATATGAGCTCCCTTGTGATTCAAATCGGAGCTCCCAATTATCTGTCCTCGCTGCTCTCCAGGCCCAGGCACCCGGGGTAATGGGATTACAATGGCTGTGCCCAGAGGTGCAGGTAATGATGTGAAGGCTGTGACACTGATCAGCACATTACAAAAAGCCCCTAAACTCTGCTCTGTTCTGAGCCTTGACGCTACTGTAGATAAAAGGACTGACAAATGGAGGTGTTCTCCCCCCTCCTCCTCTCCTCACCCCCCTCCCTCACCCCTGCTTTGGTGTTTCAAACACCACATTTAACAAAACTGCCACCTTAAAAAAGAAAAACTGATATGAATTTTTGTGCATATGGTGACGGCAGCGTGTTGATATTCTGCCCTGCATTCTGGTTCCTGCCCCGGGCTTGTTAACAAGGTGCCCGTGGCAATGGTTGCCTGGCCATCAAACCCTCAGCTGATAAGTTCCTCTGGGAGAGAGAGTGAGAGTGAGAGAGGGGGAGGGCGAGATAGAGAGAGAGAGAGGCGCTGTGTCATTGAATTCACCCCCGATTGCCTCCTCGTGCTGTACGTCTGAGATAAACCGCCGCCAGACCCTGGTCTTTACATCCTGTGAGAATGGAAGTCGGTGGCGTTTCTTCACAGCTGCTTCTCTCAGTGTTTCTCTGGCAGATAGACTCGTGTAACCACCGGCTCTGTCCCGCGCACGCTGCATTTTATCATCTGATGACTAGATTTATACGTACAATTACGGCGTTGTACCCCGTCGTCAACATGGGAGCCAGAAAAGACACCTGTCACCGGCGATGCTGCAAGGCCGAGGACGAGGATCGGCTGATTGATTGAAGCCTCAAAGTGCACCGAGGGTGAGGGACGCGGTGACAGGTCCGTGATTGACACAGATGAGGGAGAGGAGGAGAGGGAGAGGGAAAAAACGTCAGCGAGCGGATAAGGAGGAGAGGAGAAACAATAGTGAGTTAACGAGGGAGAGGGAGAGAGAGAGAGAGAGAGAGAGAGAGCGGCTGCAGGAGACACAGGTGGTGAGTGGGAGACGTGGGAAAGAGGATGCAGAGGACGTAGGAGGAGTAAATAATCTGTTTTTTTTATTATTTGTCAGGATGATTTGTTTGTGGAAGGTAAAAAAAAAAGTAGACGGGAAAAGAAGAAAGCTGGGGGAGGTGAGGAAGGAGTGGGGGGGGAGGGAGGGGGTGAGGGAGGAGGTGAGGGAGGAGTGGAGAGACAAAACAGGTGAGAAAGTGTTCCAGGAGGAACATCCCAACTTCTGCCACGCTCCAGTGAACGTGCTGACAGCCTCTGTCTGGAGCACAGGAGGAAGTGTCATACAACCAAACAGAGCACGGCAGCGCGGAGCAGCACGGAGCAGCACGGAGCAGCACGGAGCAGGACACGCTCAACTGGCACCACTTAACCCTTCACACCTTCACACGCACACGTCCACAGTCCAGAGACGTCACACCACCACAGTCAGACCGGCGCCTCCTCTGGTCTTTATGGTCAATGCTGAGAACAACAGCAGCGGTCGATCAGCTCCATCTGACCTCTGACCCCTGACCTCCGATCAGTTTTCAAGGATAGATGGATGGATAGATGATCAATATGTTGATCAGATCTCCCATCGCCACATCCAGGTTCTTGTTTTTAGAATGTGAAGCTATCAGGAACTAAACAGTGACAGAAGTGACTTATCAAAGCAGAAACGACTGGAGTCGGACTCTCAGCTGACGTTGTCGCTCATTTTAATTTGTAGCTAATTTTAGCTTAGCGTCGTTGTGTCAAAGATCTCTTTAACTCAGTGTGTTTACAACCTGAACAAAAACAGCATCAAAACCATTTGACTTTTTTCCTGCTCTCTGTTTCACTGCAGTCTGAAAAAAGAAAAAAAAAAAGGGCCTCAGAAATCCTTCAGTCCCACTGGTTCATGATTAGAGTCTGTTCTAAAACTGCTCTCCATCACTGATACTGTTGTTCACTCCTATCAAAGAGATGTGAGGAGTAAAAAAACTGCAGGGTAAAATGGATGGATGTGTTCAGGGCTCTGTTCAATGGTCTGTCCCGTCTGCTCGTCTGCATGCTCTCCTACCTGTCTGTGCCGCTCCACTTTTAATTAAATTGCTGCAATGATTGAAGTTTTAACTTCATTATCTTTATCTTTTCTCCCAGGGTGAAAATCCCTCCGCGGGAAAACGAATGAGACGCGTCGCAGGAGGAGCCGAGGGAAAAGCGGTGCGGAAAGGTGCTCCTCAGATAGAGGGAGATATTAGGAATCATCTTTAAGAAAGAAAAAAAAAGACAAACAAACCAAACACAACAGCAGCTCCGTGGGGAGACCAGAGGATGTGGGAGTGAGAGAGGAGGGGCATGAGCCGGGGCAAAAGACAGGGGAGAATGAAGATACCTGGAGGACAAGGCCTGTCTCACAGCAAACCCTGCTCAATTTAGGAGATCTCGCCTCAAGACAAGATGACTACCAGACACCTGCTCCTCTTTGTTTTTCTCTGCCTGTCGGAGGGTCCCGCGGTGGAGGCTTCGGCCAATAAGCTCACGCGGAGGCGAGGGGTCGGCGTATCTCACACGCTGAAGCTCGAGAGCAGAGCAGCTGATTCAAACCTGGATGCTAACGCGATGCCTGTGGTGACTCTGAGGAACGTGATTAATCGTGAGCAGGCAGGCGACCCCGGATCTTTCTCTTACTCCAAACTGTTGCAGACTCACACGGCGCCATCTGTGGCCAACAGGGAGAGACAGTCGTTCAAGCCCAAGCGCGAGGTCGACTCTGCCTTCAAGAGGGAAGCGACCCTGCACAGTTTGTCTGCCGAGAACCAGCTGAACCAGGATTTGAAGAGAGTCAGGAACAACAGCAGAGCGGGAAGACCGGAGAAAACCTTCACCGTCCACCACAAGACAGAGCAGCATTCCAACAAAACCAGGTTCAAGTCGTCCAGGTCCAGGACCAGACCTGATCTGAGCGTCCACACCACAGGAGTGCCAGGAAAAGGACCGGGCTCGGACTCCAACAGGAAGCTGAACCTCACCGGCAGTTTTGGCGTTCTGAAGCTTCTGTCCAAAGACAACCTGGTCCGCATCGTTAACTCCCAGATGCAGAACGTTCCCAGCCTCGGTTTTCCGAGCAGGGGCAGCCGCAGCCGGAAGAGGGATTTGATTGACGTTAATCACAGACAGTTGGAGGCGCAGAAAACGCTGAGACAAGACGGCGTTGTCACTCAGTCTCACACAGCATTTGATAATCAGACTGGATTCCCCCTCGTGAGCCCGGCCACGCCCCCAGACTCAGATCCAGACCTGAACGCTGACTCCCACACTAATCCGCTCAGTGCAGATTCAGATAACGACGATGGGCGGAGCAAACACTCTGTCCACGTCCCGTCAACGCCCCACAGCCAGGTCGGCGTCTCCCCACCTGAGAAGGTGGTGAGGACAGAGCCGCCGTTTACCGCCACAAAACACTTTCCCTCTGAAACGAACGCCTCGCCTCCGTCTGTGCTGACGGGGCAGCGGGCGGGGCAGAGGCCTCCCCACAGAGACCCATTAACAGAGTCGGTGCAGAGCTCGGCTCAGTACGGAGCAGAGGAAGACAACGCTCCCGTCAACAGAAGTCATGTCCTCAGGCTCCGTCCTGCTCCAGAATGGGGGCGTGAGGCGAAGAACGCTGGGACGCAGGCGGTCGATCCGAAACACGGGAAAGGCCTGGTGTTTGAAGAGGCTGAGTCAGAGCTACAGGAGCAGCAGGTGGAGGAGGAGGAGGAGGAGGAGGAGGAGGAGGAAGGACCTGATGGCGTGGAGGTCAGGGGTCCACGCAGCCGCAGGAGCTGGATCTGGAACCAGTTCTTTGTGATTGAAGAGTACTCCGGACCAGAACCTGTGCTCATCGGACGGGTGAGTCATAAAAACATTTTTTTTTTTTTAAAACCACTTTAGTGATCAGTGAGCAGATCTTTGAACCACTGAGTTAATGACATGGACGCCGCGTTAAAGGCTCTCACAGTGAATGTCAGAGTCTTTGAACCACTGAGTTAAAGGCTCTCACAGTGAATGTCAGACGGGTTTACCACTTGTTTTGGTTTGAATTTACCATGATGTCGTCGTGTGAAGCAGCGTTAAAGACTAATGCTCAAAGTCATGAAGGTCAGTGACCTTCAGCTGCAGTGTCCACACAATAATATCAGCAGGTTCAGGACAACGTTGGTCTGTAGTCATGGTTCTCAGTGGATGATCTTCCAAAACTGATTTAACTCTTGAATTATCAGACCACAGTCTGTGACTTTTTCAGTCTCACTTTAAAAAATATCTAAATGTGTCAGTGCAAAAACAAAAAAAAGAAAAACAAACCTTTTGACCTGTTGTTTGTTCTGTAAAAACTAAAAAAAAGAAAACCTTTTGACCTGTTGTTTGTTCTGTTTTTAAGACCCTGCTCTAACTTTTCTGGAAACCAGGTTTGTTATCCGTCTCCCAGGTGGCGCTCAGGGTTTTATTGTGCACGGTTATAAATGCACAATTGGAATTGATTTACATTACTCCAGTGTGAGCTGGTGCGTTCCAGTTAGCTGCAAAACTTCAATGAATCAATAATGTACTGAGGCGCAACAAAAGCCCCAGCCGCTATCTGCCCCGGGGGGTAAGTCCTGATCTGGACTCACCGTCGGGAATTGACATATCCAGGAAAATTAATAGCTTCACTTTTTTTTTTGTTTTTACCATTGATCTGCCCCCCAGGGCAGAAACCAGGAGTAGTCGGAGTGGTCCCCTATTTCACTCTAGGTCGGACCTGTCNGGAGTCTGGCAGTGCTATTTGATTTGAAGTGATTTACACTCAGTCTGACAGGATTTATCACTGCGTTTTTCCTCAGTGCAGCTCTCACACACACACACACACACACACACGCAGCTGCAGGTCTTTTTGCTGCTCTGTGAAGTTTATTGGAATCATTGACCGACCCCGACTCCTCCACACACTCTGCTCCTCCTCTCCCTTTAGAAGAGGCGGGCAGCTGAGTGTGGTCACGTCGACCGGACAGAAGGTGTCTCGGAGTCGTGCGCCGTAATGGCCGTGCCCTGCGTTCCCAGCATGCACCAAGTGTCCAGGAATCCAGCCGCGGTAGACGGGCTAATGTATTAGGCCGTGTGAGCGCTCTGCTGGTCAAACGAATAGTCACGACCTCAGAGCGGCCGCGGCAGGATGTGCGTGTGTGGACCGAGGCGACCATTACTTTTTTGGTCTGTGGATGATAGCGTCCAGGTGCTCGGGGACGGCCGGAGCTCGGGGACGGCCGGAGCTCGGAGACTTCCCCAGAGGACATGGATGATTAGACAATACTCTCAGTAAAACTCATGATGGTCTGAGATGGATGCTGCAGAGGGGAATTTAACGGCCGTGGAGAAGAGGCAAGAACTAATGGTTGAGCTTACAGATGGCGCCGCGTGTAAAGCCGTTAGCGCCAATCTGCTGTGTCAAGCAGGTGTTTCGCCAGAACATTGTACAGCACTCAGGAAGGGAACGACGCCAGGCTACACTCACGTGCTCGTATGATGGTGTCGGCAGTTGGAACACGCCCAGGATCCTATTATATTTCTGTGTGTGTGTGTGTCGGCTGAGCTAGGAAAGCGTATGATTAGTGCCCGACTGTATTAGACAGTGACGGCACACATGAATAATGCTCTTACAGATCTAAATACGCTTATGAATTTTTAATCTGCTCTGCTCCAGCTCAGGCCGACACCGTAGGTAGTAAGATCAATGTGCACACAAACACATTTTCCCTCTGTTTTCTTTTTTTTTTTTTTTTTTTTCCTAGCACGTAGCAGAAACCTTTTGTGCTTTAATGAAGACCGCTGTGATGGAGCGTGAAGAGAAATTAACCGCACAGTCAGTGAAGTGGCTCCACCCGCCCGGCCCTCACTGAACCGCCCGTGTTTATCTGATTATGAGATTTAACATTTAACTTTAACACAACAAACATTTGTGGCTGTTTTGGTGGCAAACTGTCGTTGCAGAAACGCAGCCCCGGAATGGACACGGCTCGCTAGGTTTGGAAAAATGAAAGTCTGATTAAAAGTGGTCCCTGCCAACGAGCTGATGGAGCAGGTGAAGCCTTAGTCTGTTTGGGGCAGGATGTTGAAAATCCAACTTTTTCCACGGACAGTAAAGGCATCATATTAATTAATTTTTTTTCTGTGTTATCCAGTTATTTAAAGTGTAACTGCTGTTGTTGTGGTTTCAACAAAATGTGGGCACCAATCAGACATTCCAGTGGGGGGCAGCGTTTGGCCAACATGTCGCTACTGCTTTGAGACTTTTCCCTTGTTTAAAATGCGTCTCCGACCCAGATTGTTTCAGTTCTGTCTACACAGATCTGGGCTAAAGCCTGAAACGAGAGCCCAGACTCTAATCAGTGATGTCGACCGGAGACAAAGGCTCGGCTGCTGAATGGATGATAAATTGCCGGCCAACTTTGTGGACACTGTGGCAGCACACAGTGTCATTTTCCAGGGATATTCATAAGTACTTCCTCTGGTTCTGGTCCAGGGAATTGTCAGAAACGTCTCATTTAATATGAAGCACAGAACAAGCAGCTCCTGTGTTAGCAGTACATCGACTGCAGTATCTGCTGACCCTCAGCTGTAGTACCTCGAGTCCCGGCTCTGACGGAGTTTGTCCCTCACTGCTTTTGTTGTAATAATAATAATAATAATAATAATAATCGAAAGCATAGACAGTTGCCTAGAGCACCACCTCCTGGAGAGGATGATGCTGTAACACATCAAAATCATGCTGATGTGGGTTTGAAGCTGATTTTTGATTAGGATGTTTTTTTTTTTT